TTTTGCGATTTTCATAAAGTACCCAGTACACAGCATTGATAATATTTTCGTTTTTATTGAGTACGTGCAGTAGGAAATACATATTTTCAAACAATACTACGGTGTGGGTCATTTTTTCATCGTAAACTGCTTTGTTTCTGAACAAAAAAGACAGGTTGTAAGTGATCGAACAGATACTATTTCTTGGTACTGTATTGTGTGGTGAATCTAAGTTGGAGAATATTTTCGCTGGAGTAAATTTTTGCGGGAAAAATTTTGAAGTTTATTTGCGGGAACTTATTTTTGCGGATGGCTGGAAAAATCCCAAAAATCGCAAAAATTAGAACCCGCAAAAATTTCGTGCCACACGGTGATTGATAGCCTCCCACGCAGGCGTTTTTAGGGGAGCTCGTTTTTCATCCCTCCCTGGGGAATGATCAACCGGGAAGGCCTGGGGACAAGTTTGCGTTATTTTGGTAAGAGCATTTATACAAAATGGCGGAACATTTCACACTTTTCCGGACCGGAAGAAATGGCCTAACTACTGTCTAAAAGCTCAGTTAGAACAGCGAGAATACAGTTCAACGGACGACATCTGCTATTTGGAGAATATTTGCAGAATTGATCTTCCCATTATCTCCTGAACTAGCTGAGAAACCGGCAATATTGACGGGAACTTAACATCGATCGAGGTAAGCATGTCGTAAAGCGTCCATGTTACGCCCACCAAGCGTCCCGAAACATGTTATTACCAATCAATAACCCTCGCGCACCCTATATGTCCACGTTGCACAACGTTTACCCATGTTTACCCCTATTTACCCCTAGTTTACCACATTTACCTAGCTTCACCCTCGTTCTACCACATTTACCTAGGTTTACCCATAGTTAACCTCGTTTCATGCTGTTCACTCATGTTCACCCCTAGTTAACCTAGTTCTATCACATTTTCCTAGGTTTACCCCTAGTTAACCTCGTTTCACCCTGTTCACTCATGTTTACCCCTAGTTAACCTCGTTCTACCACATTTACCTAGGTTTACCCCTAATTAACCTTATTCTACCACATTTACCTAGGTTTACCCCTAGTTAATCTTATTTCACCCTGTTCACTCGTGTTTACCCCTAGTTAACCTCTTTCTATCACATTTACCTAGGTTTACCCCTAGTTAACTTCGTTTCACCCTGTTCACTCATGTTTACTCCTAGTTAACCTCGTTCTACCACATTTACCTAGGTTTACCCCTAGTTAACCTCGTTTCACCCTGTTCACTCATGTTTACCCTTAGTTAATGACGTTCTACCACATTTACGTACCTAAGTTTACTCCTAGTTAACCTCGTTTCACCCTGTTCACTCATTTTTTTCGGTAGTTAACCTCGTTCTACCACATTACCTAGGTTTACCCCTAGCTAACCTCGTTTCACCCTTTAATCATGTTTACCCCTAGTTAACCTCGTTTTACCACATTTTCCAAGATTTACTCATAGTTAACCTCTTTTCACTCTGTTCGTCCATGTTTACCCCTAGTTTACCTCGTTTTACCCTATTCACCCATGTTTACCCCTACTTAGGGACTTTTTCAGAAATTAGCAGGGGGGTGAGGGGTGGGAGTTTTAAATTTGGGTTCGGAAATGAGGTGATCCATCCCTGCAATGGGAGTGAAATTTGCTAACCCTCCCCTTGACCTTGGCCTAAAATATCATGACCCTCCCCCTCTTGTATAAATGATAAAATCTAGTTCTTGCAATACACTAGAGTGAGTCAGTATTGTAAAAGCATTAAATATATTTCTAACCCGTTCTTTGTAATGCCATATACATACATTTTAGCTGACAGCATTCAGAGTCCGACTCTGATTCTGACAGCTGATCACTCGACTCTCCTATTTCTCCCAGGTTTTTTTACAAAATAAAGAACTTCTTTTTTCGTCTGTGGGTGAACATCTACATGATCACAGACACAGATTTGCATGACCCTTCCTCCCTCTGTTTCCACCCCCCTCCCCTAATTTTGCCTTCACTTCCGAGTTCCAAAAACCCTCACTTTCCAAATGAGGCCAAGTGTACAACCTTTCTTGTGAAAATGAGTTTTATTTGCATGAAAATGAAAAATCATTTCCATAACAAAGGCTGGGCACTTAACCTCGTTTTGATACAGAGACCCGGGGAGACTCGGAAACGGCTTATTGTGTTGAATGAATAAGGGTGTTATCCCTCTCGACCTTGATTGAAATAGACCTTAAAATAATCTTTGGTGACATGTTAGATCTGAATCAAGCTTTACAAAGTTGCCATTTTTGATTTCTTCAAAGGGGTTAACCCATGAATTTGGTTTAAAAGCTGGAAAATTCTTCCCTCTTCATTTTTGATCAAAATAAGCGTAGAAATAATGTTTGGTGATGTAAAACTAGCTTTTCTTCACTAAAAAGTTATCGTTATTACAAAGTCGCAGTATTGGATATTCGCCAATTTGGTTTCTGTAGCATTAAGCACTCGGGAGAATTGCCCGGAGGGTGTACTCAAAAAATTTTTCTACCGGGAAGCTCCGCCCTTAGTTCCAACCCTTTGCCCTTTTAAATACCATTTCCGACAGAAAGGAAACCCCTTTCGTACACCTTCTATTGATAAATGGTACCCCTTTCACATACCCAGTGTAAAACTTTGGATCCCTTTTAACTGCTGTTAAAGCACTGTCTTTTAAATATGAATCAATCACAAAACTATAGAGTTGTACCTGTTAGCCCCCTCAGGTCTTTTAGGACGGTGCGAGTTTTGCTTTCGACTATCGTGCACGACTAGCATGCGTCATGACTTCACGGCAGATCGAGTCGTGTAAATTAGACCCACTACATTTGTACGACACATTGTGGACGTCGTAAGTGAAAATTGGGCGCGTGTGGATGGAAGTCCATGACGTATGCTAGTCGCACGCGATATTCGTAAGCAAAACTCGTACCGTCTAAATCGGCCTTTTGCTGACCACAATAACAGATTTCCCTACCCTTTCGCATGCTTCATGCTTTCATGCTTTCATGCTTGTGTCCCCAATTAGTTGTGAAAACTAAATACATTGACACATTAATAAAGCTTTTACTTACTCACTCACTCACTCACTCACTCACTCACTCACTCACTCACTCACTCACTCACTCACTCACTCACTCACTCACTCACT